GAACTACAGTGAAACAGAGACAGTTGTTTGAATGATGTTCCAGGAAAAGCCAATGTTGTCAAATCATAGCAAATCTACGGATCGATAATGGCCAAACCGGTAACGACTAGACCCCTTTTTGAATAATGTGCTCTGGATGGAAAGCTATAAGATAGAGACACAACTGGAGCCTTTAGTAGAAGAGCCTCATGCATACTCTATTTGTGTATTCATATCTCTAGCATTTATTAATTTGTTTCCCCAGTTAATAAACTCGTTTATTTACAAGTGTACTATAAATTATCTCAGAAGATTTGTTAGCCTAAAAAGGTGGGTACACCCCTTTCGACGTGTCAAACGCTGGGTACACTGAAGTTAGCTGGGTTCAGTCTAGTCTTCATCATCTCGGTTCCTGCTGCCCTGCTCTCTGTTCAGCTGACCATATGCCTCACATCCTCTTTCACGCACTACCAATTTACCCCCACAGCCTCGAGAGTGGAGTCGTGCCCTGCTTAAATGTACTCTTGTGTACAGAGCTGGAACTCAAAGTCATTTTTCATGTGCCAGCTCCCTTCAGGTTTACGAGCCCTGCAGAATAGCTGAAAGGGAGGACAGGAGTGTAAACATAAAGAAAAAAAAACAGAGGACTACTTACATGTACCATGTGTGCTTCTGGATCTGTTCTAACTGGAGAAGTAATGAGAAAAGAAAAAATGAAGATCAGTTCACAAAATGCAATTCACTGGAAAATAGCATCATGTTGTTGACAGGAGAATAAAAAGATCAACGAAGCTATAAAAATTGTTGGTACATTACAACGCCAGTAAGTATTGAGCTTATGAAGTTTCAAGGAAATAAAATAGAGACAATACAGGCAGGTTAAGGTGTGGAAGTAAAAAATGAGACCTTCAAATGTTAATACTGCCAATGGAAAAAAAACATATTGAGGAAAAGGAGAGAAAGGTTCAGCAAAGGCAAAAAGAGGAAGGTGATACAACTGAGCTAAACACAGAGAATATTATCTCCCTCACACATGCAGCTGACCCTGCCAAGCCCTCTGGTCTGAAGGGAATCTCCTATTCTCATCCTCTTCCCATTTCACTGACTCACACGCTCCCTTTTTTTTAATACTACCCTTGTCATCGCACGTCTAGAGTGGCCACTTTGTCACCAACCCTGTCAACGTAGTCTTTTGTCAAAAAAGGAAAAGCAGAAAGAGAGGAACAGCGGGCAAAATAGCAACAAAGGAAGATGTCTGCTAGAATGACTCCACGGTGTTTCAACTGCCCACAGAAGGAAAGCGGATCAATGTCACTGCTGGGACTTTTTAATTTGCTCAAGCTGTTGTTGTGGAACCACAGGAGATACACATGACAGCTCTAATTATTGTCACTTATTCAGACGCATAGTTCTCGTGTCAGTGTCTCCATCAATGTCTTGATGTTACCACTTCCCTAGAGAATTTACCTCTGTGCTTCGGCACCGATGCATGCCTTCCTGAGATGTTAGTGCAATCACAGAGCCGAGAAGACTGTGGTTACTGACTATAGGTGAGTCTACCACAGAGGTCGTGATATTGACAAGGACACCCTGCCAGTCAGATAGAGAGTAGTGGGTGACCTACTCTGTCCGACTTTTATTGAAGGCCTGGAGGCAAGAGTCTGGTATCGCACACAGGGTTGAAAGTGATGTGGTTTGAAACGTAGAATCACATCAATCAGTTTCTAAATGTGTCACTACTGATTCCAGCTGCTTTCAGGCAGAAGAGATGCTGTATAATACTGGCTGAGAATGTTCTGTCCACATCCAGGTGTATATTTATCAAGGTGCTGCATATGTAATTCTCCGCTTACTTGTGTTTGTAGGTCTGTAAGCAGAAAGAGAACAGTCACATGGCTGTTCAGTGGAGGAAGGACCACAATCCGTGTTTACAGTAGAGACTTACTCTGTTGTTTCAAGTCATAATATACAGAAACACATAAAGATATTTGGAAAGTGTGTGACTGAAAGATGTGCTCGAAGTTAAAACTTTCAGCTGTGATTCAAGGGATTTAACAAAAAATTTAATCCTCCTAGTTTCACAGGCTCCAAACTAATTGCATAATTTAATGATAAGCAGTCGTGTTACGGCCATGAATCAAAGAATTCCAGCTGAATGTTTTTAGCAACAAAATTACCAAGGTTGTGTCACTGCTTAAATACTTGCAGACTTTATTCAATTAAATATACAGTTAAGAACAGCTTTTACACAATGAACAAACATTGAATTAACCTCCTAAGACCCAAACTCTTTCATGGCGTGCATTTTTAATTTCTCTTTGCTATTTGGGGCGACTGGGACCTGATGAATGTAAAAAGAAAGAATTATGCCATGTTCAAGTAACCAGTTTGAGATGATTTTAGACGATGATTAGCTCTCTGACGAGGCACATTATCCTGGTCATGAAGGGACAGATATGGTCAACATCAATATTCAGGTAGGCTGCGCCGTTTTAGATAAGCTCACTTGGTGCTAAACAGTCCGAAGTGCGCCAACTGCATGAACTGTTGATACAAAGTAGGGGGTCTATTTATGCTTTCATGTTTTTCATCCAAATATTGCATTAGAAATGGAGACTAATATATTATAAAAATATTTAATTTTCCAATTTTGGTGAGCTAATGCTAATTGTAGCCTTGGTTTCTCTGTTCTTAGCTGACAGGAGCAGTCCCTGGTCTGTTCTTCAGCTGCTGTTGCAAATCTGCTCCAACACTTACGTGTTGTGGTTTTAACAAGTGGTTATCCCAGCATTTCAACAGTGCGTGAAATCACCTTTCTTCCCATTCTGATGCCTTTTTTCCCCCTACTTTAGCAGGTTGTCTTGACCATTTCTGCTGCCATGTGATTGGCTAAGTAGCTTGTCAATGGAAAATTGTACTTAGTAGTCAGTATAATCTTTTAATGATATAAGTTTGCATATGGTAGAATACTGCATGTAATCACTTGTGTTTAGAAGTATATAGTTGGTGGCATAATGAAGGAATGTCTCATCTTAGGAAGTCTGTAACATTCCAGGGTGTTCTGGCGTTCACCCCCACATCCTAGGAGCATGGGAAAAGGTCGTACCTTGTTTTATTGTTTTACGGTAGGATTAACGTAGCTATATCTGTTTCCAGTCTAAGTGCTTTTGTTTAGATGAACTGCTGGTCCAGCAAGTTTAGGGAAGTCATTTATGGGGTCACACTCTGACACACACACACACTGAAGTATAAATAAAGACCAGGGCAGTCTCTCATTTGCGAATCTTGGAGCCTCACTCTTGGTGTGTGAGCTCAGGAGGCTGCCCTTGCTAGTAAGAAAATCTGTGTGTTTCTCCTCTCTGATTCTCTGCTGAAGAAGTGTTTTAGAATATATCTCTTAACATAGTTGTTGATATTAAAAAGCAGCTGAACATTAGGCTTAAGAAGAAGAGATGTTCTTTTCCTCCACATGAATGCTAAACCCCATTTTCTTCAGCTTTACTCTTACTGTAGTCGTTGCAGTCTTTGTAATTGCTGAGAGAGCAGTAACAGAAGGATCCGTAAGTATTTCAGATTCCGAGATAACACTTGCCAATTTTGGCAAGTCTTTAAAAGATTACATTGGCCTAAAAACAATTGTCATCATCAAAACAAAGTGTTTCAGTCCACTTCTAAAAAGGTTCTGGTGTCTCTTACAAAAAACAAAACACCTTCTTTATTTCCATCAGGCAACTTTGGTATTTGATCGACACCATGCCCATGAAGGTATTATCTGTCTGTGATGAACTGCTCTTTAATATAGTAATCTAGTCAATCCTCTTTATTACTCAGGTACCATGAGGAGGCCGATCTTTCCACGGTGTCTTTTATCATTTGAATACTGAAGATGAGATGATTGCGCTGAGGTGGTTGGCTTAGTTGCCTCTGGGGCCCTGACTGCACAGACAGGAAATGGAGAGAAAGGCTTTTATTGGCCTAAGCCCCTTAATCCCAGGTACGTGCCCTCCCACTCAAACTCTGAGGAAGCCTCGACTTTGTGTGTTTACTTGTGTGCGTCTACTTACAAACCTAATTAACAGAAGGTGACAATAGACCTACTGAAACACAGCCTGTATTTAGAGTCTGATTACCCCGTTGATTTGATTCAGCAAACATTATTATGGAAATAATCCCACATAAGTGAATGTCATATTCCATTATGATGTCATTTTTGCCCCTCAGTCTGACTAGCGGTCACTATAAACTCCACAAATGCTCGATCTAACGAGGATATTTGACATTCCTCGAGGTTACAACACATCCCCTGAGCTCTGTGTGGAGTCCTGATGCAAAAGAGGAGCAGACAGGTAGCATATTCTCTCCCAGCAGCATGGTCTGCATGTAACCCTTTGACTAGGACATTGCTGGAGGCTGGTGGACATATCTAGGGAATCTCAGGGTGACCTGTCCTCATCAGACAGAGGGACCAGAAAAATAAATAATATAGTGTGCATAGTGCATAATAAAAAGGTTTGATCTTTCTGTTTCTTGTTTCAATACAAATGAGCATCCTGCATATGAACATCTCTTTTCATGTCGGTTTCTAAACTTTTTCTGCTGCTACTCCTGCCGCTGTTTTTTCACATTCCTGTTACTTTACTCTTAGTCATTCTGACACGGTTTGAGATGATTTAAGGCATAAAGAAATGGAGCAGCAACATTCGCCAAGGGTGGCGTCATCACATTTGCTTACAGGCAAGTGCATGAAAATAGTTTTGTTTGATGCACTGATTCACAGAGATACCTGGAGAAGCTGCGTGCATACAGTAAAAATGAGGACGTGATCAAATACAGTAACTTGCAGACTGGGTGTAGCTTTGTGCACTGCTCTGAATGCGAAATGCAGGATAACAAAGACGGGCTCCACTGTCTCTTACATTCGCCTTTGTCCATCTCTCTCAACCCGACACTCCGTCCTTTATATCTCTGTTCTTGCTCTCTAATCCGGTTACCTTGCCAAGGTGATCAGTTATTGTCACCGTGAAGTGTGTGGTACACGAGCAACGCTCCTCTCCTGAATCCACACAATGTACTTGAACTTACACAGAACTGGGAATGATACAAACAAACATTTGTATCAAGAAAGAACAACAGCACCAAACTGATACTATATATTTTAGTTTAAGTTAGCTGATCTTACTCTTACTTAGGGATGGGTACCAGTATCCGGTGCCATGATGGCACCGGTTCTGACATAAACGGTAGTAACCAGACCGAAAAGCAGCGCACATTTCGGTGCTTT